CAGTTGTGCTATTAATTTTCTAATGTAACTATTCTCCAGTTTCTTCATGTGGACACTCAGTGCTATGAACTTCCCTCTTAGCACTGCTTTCAAAGTGTTCCATAAGTTTGGGTATATTATGTCTTCATTCTCATTGAATTGCAGGAAGTCTTTAATTTCTTTTTTATTTCTTCTTTGACCCAGGGATGGTGTAATTGTGCATTATTCAATTTTCATCAGTTTCTAGGGTTTCTGCAATTTGTATTGTTGTTGAATTTTAGATTTAACGCATGGTGGTCTGATAAGATGCATGGAGTTATTCCAATTATTTTTGTAGCTGCTGAGTTTTGATATGTTGCCATGTATGTGGTCAGTTTTTAAGAAGGTTCCATGTGGCACTGAGAAGAAGGTATATTCTTTTTTATTTGGATGGAATGTTCTATAGATGTCCATCAATCCCAATTGGGTCACAGCTTCTTTTAGTTCCTTTGCTTCTTTGTTAAGTTTCTGTCTAATGGACCTGTCTAATGCTGAGAATAGGATGTTTAAGTATTCCACTATAAGTGTGTGGGGCTTTATGTGTGATTTGAGTTTCAGTAATGTTTCTTTTACAAACGTGGATGCCTTTTTATTTGGGGCATAGATGTTTAGAATTGAGACTTCATCTTGGTGGATTTCTCCTGTGATGAGTATGAAATGACCTCCTTCATCACTTTTGATTGATTTCATCTTAAAGTCTAATTTGTTAGATTTTAGGATTGCTACCACAGCTTTTTTCTTGGGTTCATATGATTGGAAAATTTTTCCCAACCCTTAACTCTGAGGTAATGTCTGTCTTTGAGGCTGAGGTGTGTTTCTTGTATGCAGCAGAAGGATGGGTTCTGTCTTCGAATCCATTCTGTTAGCCTGTGTCTTTTTATGGTGAGTTAAGACCATTAATATTGAGGGATATTAATGGCCATTGATTGCTCATTCTTGTTTCTTTTGGAATGGTTGTTATTGGTGGTCTTGTATGTGGATTTCCACCTCTTTTTTCTTTTCGCTGTTGGGAAGGTGGGATTATCTATTGCCTATGTTTTTCTGGTTGTAGTTAACTTGCTTGGGTTGGAGTGTTTGTTCCAGAACTTTCTGTAGGGCTGGGTTAGTCGATATGTATTGTTTGAATCTGGTTTTGTCATGGAATATCTTGTTTTCTACATCTATAGTGATTGAAAGCTTTGCTGGGCATAGCAGTCTAGGATGGCATCTGTGGTCTCTTAGTGTTGTTGCAATATCTATCCAGGACCTTCTGGCTTTCAGAGTTTCCATGGAGAAGTGAGGTGTGATTCTGATAGGTTTGTCTTTGTATGTTACTTGGCCTTTTTCCTTTGCTGCTCTTAATAGTCTTTCTTTATTCTGTATGTTTTGGGCTTTTACTATTTTGTGGCAAGGGAACTTCCTTTTTTGGTCCACTCTATTTGGTGTTTTGTAGGCTTCTTGTACTTTCATTGGCATGTCTTTCATTAGGTTGGGAAAGTTTTCTTCTATGATTTTGTTGAATATGTTTTCTGCCCCTTTGAGGTGGTTTTCTTCACCTTCTTGTATACCTATTATTCTTAGGTTTGGTCTTTTCATGGTGTCCCATATTTCCTGGATATTTTGTGCTAGGGATTTGTTGGACTTAAGATTTTCTTTGGTCGATGAATCCATTTCTCCTAGTGTATCTTCAACACCTGATATTCTTTCTTCCATCTCTTATATTCTGTTGGTTATGCTTGCATCTGTAGTACTTGACCATTTGCCCAGCTTTTCTATTTCCAGTATTCCTTGAGACTGTGTTTTTTAAATTTTCTCTATTTCAGTTTTCAACGCTTGCTCTGTTTAAATTGTTTCTTGTAATTTTTGCTTTGTTTTTTCCTCTCATTCTGGCATTTGTTGGATTTTTGGTATTTTTTCTTTCATTTCTTTAAGGGATTTTCTCATATCCTCTTTGAGGGTCTCTATCATTTTCATGAAGTTGTTTTTAAGGTGTTTCTCATCTGCTTCATCTGCATTGGGTTATTCAGGTCCTGTGGGTGTAGATTCTCTAGACTCTGGAGGTGTCATATTGGTTTTTCTATTGCTGGGTGTGTTTTTATATTGTCTCCTTCCCATCATTTCTTCCTCTGGGTGCAGAAGGAGTTTCTTTCTCTCCTGGTGGGTATGTGACCACAGTTCCTTTCTGGTGGGTGTGAGCAGGTCCAATACTCTGGTGGCTTTCCTTTTGCTTGGATATAGGTGGTCCTAGTACCAGGGCCTTGGTAATCTTTGGGTGTACTGGACCTTGTTGGGATGGGACACCCAGTGTGCCCAGGTCGCTGGTGCTTCTGCTCAGGGCACTGGAAATAGTCCCATGCTTACCTTGCCTGTCCTGTGGTTGGTGAGTGGAACTTGGACGCTGGCAGTCTCTGGGCAAGCTGGTTCCTGCAGGGATGGGAGCTGGCCTTGGCTAGTTGTGTGCAGATCACCAGAAGGCGGGTTCTAAACAGACCCAGGCCTATCTAGCCCCATAGGTGGAGAAAGTGACTATGGTGCTGGCAGTCTCTGGGCGGGCTGAATCCCATTGGTATAGGATCACCTTGCACAGACCCCAGGTCTCCGGTGGTTCTGCTCAGGGCACTGGAAGTTAGGCTTGCCTGTCCCATTGGTGGAGAATGGGACTTGGACGCTGGCAGTCTCTGGGCGGGCTCCTGCCGGGATGGGAGCTGCAGTGCGCAGTACCCTGGCCTCGACTAGTTGTGCCCAGTCAGTGCTCTTAACCACTAAGTCATCTCTTTTAGCCATGAATAGATTTTTGATAATACTATAGGAAGAATTCTGTGGAAGTAACAGTTTGCCCCAATAATACATAAAGAACTGGACATGGATGGCGCATCATGAAACTTTACCCAAGTTTCATACTTTATACCTCAAATTCCAAACACATCATAGATGTCAACATAAAGTATAAAATGATATGTACATGTAGTTCAGTTGGCAGAGTGCTTGCGTATCATGCATGAAGCCGGGCGCCTGATCCTCAACACTACATAAGTCAGGTGGAATGGCATATGCCTGTAACGGCAGTACTTGAGAGGACATATGAAACCTTATTAAAAGGAGATTGTCAACAAAATATAATGAGACTTGACCCCAAAAGCACATCCACAAAAAGAAAAATGGATCGGACTCTGTGAGGAAGAAAGACAAGTGATTCATGGCCACTGTAACATACATGCAAATGAAGGGACAGTCCTGTGTCCTGACAGTGTGGGTGTCACACAGATTTAGATATGTGACAATTGCAGAGAGCTGCACACACACCCACAGAAATCAGAGAAATATAAACAAACTGTGGATGGTATTCATGTCAATTATTTTTTAGTGTATCAGTTGTAGGCAACTTTGCCTGTCAAATTGACACAGCCTAGAGTCGTGTGAGAAGGAGTTGCCTGTATCAGACTGGCCTGCAGGCATGTCTGTGGGAGACTGTACTGATTAGAAATTGATGCAGTAAGGTCCAGTCCACTGTGGGTAGTCCTATTCACAGGCAGGTGGCCTTATGTATTATAAGGAAGTTAGCTAAGAGTGAGTCTTTGCAAGTCAGCGGGTAGATTTTCCTCACAGATTTTGGTTCAAGATCCTGCTTGAGCACCTGTGATGCCTTCATTCAGTCATAGACTGTGACTTGGAAGTGTCAGCCACTGAACCCTGTCCTCTGCTAAATTGCTTTCAGAGGGTCTCTTCAAAGCAATAGGAATGAGAATAGAAAGAGAACTATGTTATATTTATACAAGACATCACTATTATATTTAAAAAGGCAAGAAGAGCACCAAGAACTTCTCTGAGCATGGTGGTGGCTCTTTAAAATTTAGATTTACATTTTTGTGGTGGATTGTTGATTGTTTTTACTCTTTACTATTTTTACTTTTTTGGCTTTTTGTGTCTTTTGGGGGCCCTGCCACCCAGCTCCCAAATAAATCACAATGAGTCTTATTCTTTCCTGTTTTTCTTTGAGACAAGGTTTCTCTGTGTAGCCCTGGCTGTCCTGGAACTCACTCTGTGGACCAAACTGGTCTTGAACTCTCAGAGATCTACCTGCCTCTGCCACCTGAGTGCTTTAATTGAAGCTAAGCATTACCACTGCCCATCTTATTCTTTCTTATGAATGACTGGCCTTAGCTTGGCTTGTTTCTTGCCAGTTTTTCTTAAATTATCCCATCTATCTTTTTGTCTCTGGGATTTTCTCTTTCTCTGTTTCTGTATATCTTTTCTTTCCTTCTTATTCTGTGTCTGGCTGTGTAGCTGGGTGGATGACCTCCTGGCATCCTCCTCTCCTCCTGTGTTGTTGCTTGAACTCCCTATATCTCTTTTTCTCCTTCTACTTATTCTCTCTGCCTGGCAGTCCCACCTATTCTTTCTCCTGTCTTGCTATTGACAATTCAGCTCTTTATTAGATCAATCAGGTGTTTTAGACAAAGTAACACAGCTTCACATTAAACAAATGCAACATAAAATAATGTAACACATCTTTGCATCATTAAACAAATGTTCCACAGTATAAACAAATGTAACACATCTTTAACTAATATTCTACAACAGTGGATAATTGTGGTGGTTTGAATAGTAATGGGCTCCATAGGCTCATAGCTTTGAATACTTGGTCATTAAGGAACAGTGCTGTTTGACAGGGATTGGGAGATGTGGCCTTGTTGGAGGAAGCATGTCACTAGGGGTGAGCCTTGGGGTTTAAGAAGCTCAATCCAGGCCCAGTGTTTCTTTCTTCCTGCTGACTGTGGATCTGGATGTAGAACTCTCAGCTACCTCTCCAGCACCATGTCTGCCAGCATGCTGCCATGCTTTCCACCATAATGATAATGAACTAAACCTCTGAAAGTGCAAGCCATCCCCAACTAATAAATGCTTTCTTTATTAAGAGTTGCCATGGCCATAGTGTCTCTTCACAGCAATAAAACATTTACTAAGATAACAGTAAAGATTTGTTTCCTAAAAAGGACACCTACCCGACGGTTTGTGAAGTTTGAGTAGCATTCTTTCACCAGCACTGTTTTGATGATCTCTGGATCTGCAATAGCCAGCACAGGCACTCGACCGTCATAAAACCTGAGGTGGGAAGACAGGTGGACTGATCCTCAGCAGCCAGATTCTACACCTGGAATTACACCCAGCACTCCAGACTCCACCTCTGAGGCTGCACAGCCACGCCCCCAGCTCTAGAAATCACAGGAACATGAACCCCATTTCAAGTTGTGACCACAGAAGCCACTGGAGTCTTGTGAAATAAGATGGAGCTAAAGCAGGGAAGAGACACTGTGGATGACACAGCTCTTCAAAGACGTCCTTAGTAAGAATGAACACGGGAACATCTGTTAAATCTAGGCAAATGTACATGGTTATTGCTAATACCATCCTTCATAGTTACATATTTCAATATCTGGGTTGGAGCTGTGATTCAGTGTTAGGGTCCTTGTCTATCAAGTGTGTGGCACTGAGTTTGACCCCCAAGATATATATAAAATACAGAGAAAATGAATAAATGATTCCAAAGTCAAAACAAAATGTATCAGTGGAAACTTAGAAATAAACCATTCAGTATTCACGATAATGTTGCAAGAGGAGTTGCTTTGGGGCCACCAGAGGATAGCACAGCGCATGCTTGTCATTGGGTCACATGGTCTCCATGGGCTGTGTCACCTCAGCAGACCCAGTGGCCAGGCCTGTGGTTTCTGAGGATGGATGAGATGGGATGAAGAGGCAGAGCCTCCTCCCATTTGATTGTGTCTCACATCACAATGGTAACACCTCCTTCAAGCCTCTGACAGAGAAGAGCTATGTGATAGGCTCAGCCATTAGCAAAACTGCTGAAGAATTAACCCTGTAGGAGTAAACAATAGCTTAATGATTCCCTGCATTTCTTCTTCAGTGTAAGCAGAATTAGGTGGACAGGGAATACCCATATATTCTAGCAAAAGTTCTTATCTTGAAATTAATAATGGACAAAAAGCGAAATTGGGATACAGACGCCCCCTTAGAGCTGTGCAATCTATAGTCTCCTGCTGTCTGTGTGTTGGCCAGTTGTGCATCTCCAGGGTTAGCTATGATCTACTGAAGGACGGAGTTTTGATGATGAGCACTGAGATGCGAACTAATCTCTGGGCCTGACCACAAGTCATCTGGAGTCCATTCAATACTATGTCTATTTTGAAGAATAATAGACGTTGATCCTCCTCCCAAGGCTCAACAATCATTGCAGAAGAGGGAGGAGGAAGATTCTAAGAGCTTGAGGCAGAAGATGACAAGGAAACTGTCTTCTGAATGCAATGAGGCAGTTGTACATATGGACTTGCAGTGGTTGTGACAGCATGCACAAGACCTTTGTAAGCTGAAGCCAGAAAAAGGGGTCAACATGGAGAAGGGAGATGGGCAGGAAGCCCCACCCTGACGACCAGACATTGGTGATGGGTGAAGGCCACTTTCATGTCTTCCCCTCCAGTCCCCATCATCACGGTTTCCCTCAAATTTCATGTGTTCTCTTATTTTTACACTCACTGAGTCTACTTACTGATGCCAGTATGCCCATGTGTGTAGGGCATCTCCTGGAGCATAGGTAGCCATTTCAGGGGTCCCATCCCTGAAGAAAGCTCATCCTATCAGCCATGATTTTCCAACTTCTCAGCTAGGAATGGGAATTTCCTGACCATCTCCCCACTCCATGCTGGGATTTTGTCTGGCTTGATCTTGTGTTGCTAGGGAGGTCAGGGGCTCTAAATGGACATAATAACAAGCCAACTCCCAAAGACTTATTACTCCCATAGATTAGCATGAGGCTCAACCCTCATCAGAGAAACTCCTTTTAGCACAGCAACTTATGAGCTGCAATCATTGGGAAACACTCATTTCCGATTATCTTAGGAATCGATACACCACTCAGTAGCAAAATTAAAGTTATAAAATAGCAACAAAAATAAATCTATGGTTGGGGGTTCCTAAGCAATCATAAATATATATTTTCTGATGTCATGAGCCACAGGTTGAGAACTGAATTGTTAGTAGGCGATAGTGATTAGCATAGAAACTCACAACTGGTCAGCATGCATAGAATAAGATATTGTAGAGTGCTCTTATTCCTAAATGGGGCATCTCTGTCATACCATCTTAGTCAGGGTTTCTACTTTTGTGATGAAACACCATGGCCAAAGCAAGCTGGGGAGGAAAGGGTTTATTTGGTTTAATTTACATATCACAGTTCATCACTGAGGGAAGTCAGGACAGGAACTCAAACAGGGCAGGAACCTGGAGGCAGGAGCTGATGCAGAGGCCATGGAGGAGAGCTGCTCCTCTTGACTTGCTCAGCCTGCTTTCTTATAGAACCCAGAACTACCAGGCCAGGGATGGTTCCACCTATAATGGGGTGGGCCCTCCCAAATCAATAACTAATTAAGAAAATGCCACACGGTTTGATCGTATGGCAGCATTTTCTTAATTGAGGTTCCCTCCTCTCAGAAGACTTTAGTTTGTACCAAGTTGCTATAAAACTAGGCAGCATCCCCTCCTCCTCCAAGGCTCAGGGGTCATCCTGGAAGATGGAGTGGAAGGATTGTAAGATCCAGAGGCAGTGGATTACTCCAGTGAAACTGTTTTCTGGTTACAACAGTGCAGCTCTGCATTTGAACTGACACTGGCATGACTGGATGTATAGGGCTTTCGATATCTAAGAGTGAATCTTCCTAAGGAAATGATGTGTGTTTTTGAGCATGTGCCTACAGGGTTCTGTAATAATAGACTCGATGTATTAGAAGCAAGAGGCAATGAGCCAAGCCTAAGGGCTCTTAGGTCACCAAATCCCAGAGGATTCCACAACAAGCAACACTCTCAACTGAATTTACCCTGTTTAGCTTGTTGCCTGTGACATGTACCACCTTTATCAGGACAAACCTGCAAGGGTTTTACCCCAAGAACTGTGTGTTGATGTTGTTCTCATATGGAGGGGTGCATTAGCCTAAGTATGCGGAATGGAAGATTTCAGAAGACTCACCCCCATATTTTCCCATACTTTTTATAGCACGTTTCGTCAAATTTCCATGTACCCTGTGAAGAGAAATAAAATTAAATTCATTATTGTTCTGTTACATACTGACCCCTTCTTAACTAGGGCACAAATGACTCAAGTCTCACAAAATCAGACTTCCCATCCCACTGGAAATCAGAGGCAAATTCTTATTTGAAGGATTGAAGAGACTAAGAGGAGTTGTCTGTAATAAAGAGTTTAAAGCTGTTCTTATAGTTGCTCAGTGGTTAAAAGCACTGGCTGCTCTTGCAGAGGATCTAGGTTTAATTCCCAGTACCCACATGGTGGCTCACAACCATCAGTAACTCCAGCTCCAGGGATCCCCGGCCCTCTTCTGGCCTCCTCAGGCAGTGTACACATGGTGCCCAGACATGCGTCGGGCAAACACTCATCTAAAAATAAAGCAAAAGTGGAACCAGGCTTGGTGGCACATGCCTGCAAATCCTAGCACTTCAGAGGAGGCAGGAGCATCACAAATTTGATGGCTGGCATGGGTTGTATAGTGAGATCTGGAACCCACAACTATAAATAAATTAATTAAAAATAAATAAATAAACAATAAACTAGCAATAAATCGATCAATAAACATTATAACAGGGAAAACAACAACTCTAGAAAGAGGTGAAAAAAAACAACAGAGAACGTCAGAATGTGAGAGAATGAATGATGACAGTATGGAAATCATAGTAGAAAAGTGGAGGGCAGAGTGGAAATTCACTAGCTCTGAGTTTTCAATATTACAGATGAGAGATGCAGACTTCCTACAGCTGAGTTGTAGCTGTGATGCACAGTGCCCACTACATGCTCACAAAGCCCTGGTTTGCATCTCCTGCATGGCACTAACTAGGCATAGTGGCTCTTGACCGTAATACCAGCATTTGGGAGGTAGAGGTAGAAGGATTAGAAATTCAAGTCATCCTTCCCTACACAGGGAGTTCCAGGATAAGCCTCAGCTACATGAGACCCTCTAAGGAAATAAAGGAAGTTTCATAACAGGAAGTGTGTTCTAGCTCTTGGGGGAACTTTTATCAGAGAGTTCATCTTTACTTCTAGTTCTTGGGAGGCAGAGGCAGGTGGATCTCTGTGTGTTCGAGGCCAGCCTGCTCTACAGAGAGAGTTCCAGGACAGCCAAGGCTACACAGAGAAACCCTTTCTTGAAAAAGCAAAAAGAGGAAAAGAAATAAATAAAAGAGCTTAAATCCTACTCACATCATGATAGCCTAAAATGGTGCCAAAAAAAGGCAGGGGTTTTGGTCCAGGAATTCCAAGCTTCTTAAAAGTCCCATGAGAATAGGTACCATATCTGTAAAGTAACAGAGAAGTTCAAGATGCTGGGATTGAGATTGTAACTTTACACAGATGGACACGTGTCAGTCACTGACTCAGGAACTGCAAGAATCAAACCACAGAAGTAACATCTAGGCAACAAATAACAGTAAAAACCCAAACAACTACAATTGCAATCACTCGCCTCCTCCCAGTGTCCTCTAAGTAGGCTACCCTAGTTATACGATGGGGTCAGGACAATGGAGGCTTTCTTGCTTCCAGTCCAAGGGAGCACAATTGATGAAAACGACCAGGGTGTTTCATTTGCTCCTGTCCATTTAGAAAATTCCATGAAGCAGTGACTCTCACTAGCTAATGGGTTTTATTTGCATAACTGAATGCAGTTAACAGCATAGGGCATTGGAGACCTTACAGTGTTGTTCTTCCACATTGGCCAGAGACGTGTTTTTCCTTTTCTCTAAGCCATGAGCTTGTTAGAGGCTCTAACTGTTCTGAAAAGTTCCTTCCTAGAAAAATCTGGAAACATCATGGAGTTCTTATGTCCATATAATGACAACCAAGTTTGAGGCTGCCACTGGCTTCAGAGAACTTTCAGAGACTCCTAAGATTCTCTGTCTTGCAATCTGGTAGGCTTATGCTATAAGGAAGGCTGCTTCCAGTATGTTCCCTTAATGACTAAGGCATCATTTCCAGGCCATTCCCCTCCTAGGTTAATCTGGACCTCCAACTGGTGATGCTCATCTGGTGGGTGCGTATCAGGGAGATTCTTATTTATCATGATGGTTGTGTGGTGGTTTGAATGAAAATGGCCCCATGGGCCCAGAGGGAGGGGCACTATTAGGAGGTGTGGCCTTGTTGGAGGAAGTTTGTCACTGGGGGTGGGCTTTGGGGTTTCAGATGCTTAAACAAGGCCCAGTGTCTCTTTCTTCCTGCTGCCTGTAGATCAAGATGTAGAACTCTCAGCTCCTTCTCCAGCACCATGTCTGCCGGCATTCCACCACGCTTGCCACCATGATGGTTATCCACCAAACTTCTGAAACTGTAAGCCAGCCCCAATTAAATGTTTTTACCATGGTCATGGTGTCCCTTCACAGCAATAGAAACCCTGATTAATACAGAAATCAATACCAGGGACTGGAGTATTACTGTGATAGGCCTGTCCATGCTTTTCTTTGAAGGCACATGGACTTTGGGATTTGGGATTAGAAGAGCAGCTGAATGTTTTAAGTGGACCTTAATGGGCCATACTAGGAACATGGAAGCCAGTAGCACTGGGGTCATTGGAACTGTGGAGGTCTGGCTCAAAATGTTTCAGAGGAGAAGAATATTAGTATATGGCCTAGAGGCTGTTCTTATGTTTTGGCAAAGAATGTGGCTGCACTTGTCTGAAAAATCTGCCTGAGGTTAAATTGAAGAGTTGTGTATTAACAGCTTTGGCAGAGGAAGTTTCCAGACAGCCTAGTATTTACTGTGTTGCTTGGTTATTAGAGGCCACACACAGATTTATAATGAAAAAGAAGAAGCTGAGAAAGGAAAAATACAAAATGTACAGTTTGAGGAGAAAAGGGACACCAGGCTGTGCAAACAGGTTAACAAAAAGCCTGACGCTAAGTGGAATAAAGGGAGTGGTGACCTCAGAGCAAGATTCCACCAAGACAGGCTTCCAATTGGGAAAAGGAATTGAAGAAAAGTTTATGGCCAGGCATGGTGGCATACAACTTTAGTCCCAGCACTCAAAAGGCAGAGGCAGGTGGATCTCTGAGTTTGAGGGCAGCCTGGTCTACAGAACAAGTTCCAGGACAGCTTAGGCAGTGAAGGAAAATGCTTAAAACAGAAAGCTGGTAAAGATGTATTTGAATAAGAGGGCCATGTTCCTGCCCCAGGAAGCAACAGAACTTGGCAACTTCAGTGGTGTGGTTCTAGTTTTAGAGTCAAGGATAGAAGAGAAGGGTTATGGAATCTCCCTCTACAGCTAAGGAAAGCCACTGAGGCCAGGTGTGTGTCAATTGTGTCCCTGCATGGAGGTTTAGAGAAGCCATTGCGGCGTGGACTGCATGGCCACCATTGTTGCTTGACAAAGTTCCAGCATTTCTACTTCGAAGATCACAATTCTCCAGCACCATTTTTCTTTCATTTTTAATGATTCTCATGGTGTATTATGGGAGTTCCCTTATGCCTTTCCTTTGGCAAATTTCATTCAGGCTTCAAAGGATGAAAATCTACAAAATGGCAGCCATCCCAATTCACTCTCAGATCACACCAGTCCCCTCTTTACCCTTTCTGACTCCACACCTCCTCTTTGGGACCTGAACCCTGCTAGATTTGGACTTTGACTCCATTGTGAAACTGTGAGTGTAAAGCCTGGATTCCATTGTGAAACTGTGAGTGTGAGCCTGGATTCCATTGTGAAACTGTGAGTGTAAAGCCTGGATTGCCATGGGGACTCCAAAATATTGGAGATGCCAGAGTTGTGGGATACCTGCCTAGGAGAGCTGCTAAAAGGGAGTGGAACCAGTCCAAGAGATAGAAGGTGTTGCAGTCAACAAAGCTGAAAGGAGTTGGAGATCTGAAGAGCACTTTGACCTCAGACATGGAGATGCAGAGTTTGGAGATTTCCCAGCTGGTTTTCAGTCTTGTTTTGGTTCAGTGTTTCCTCTTTATGTTCCCTTTCTTCCCTTTTGGAATGGTAATGTATATTATATGTTGGAAGTATGTGATCTGTTTTTCATTTTGCTTTTTACAGGGGATTGCAGTTAAGAGATTACATGAGTCTCAGAGGAGACTTTAAAATAGTGCTGATACTGTGATATCAACACTATCCTGTGCTATTGTGATATCAGATTTTGGGAACTTTTGAAGTTGGACCATTGGGACCAGGGAGTTGAATGTGGTGGTTTGAATGAAAATAGCCTCCATAGAAGCATAGGGAGTGACATTGTTATGAGGTGTGGCTTTGTTGAAGTAGGTGTGACTTTATTGTCACTAGGGGTGGGCTTTGAGGTTTCAGATGCTCAAACAAGGCCCAGTGTCTCTCTTTCTTCCTGCTGCCTGTAGATCAAGATGTAGCACTCTCAGCTCCTTTCCAGAACCATGTCTGCCCATATGCCACCACGCTTTCCACCATGATGATAATGGACTGAACCTCTGAAACTGTAAGCCAGCTCCAATTAGATACTTTTTTATATAAGAGTTGTCATGGTCATGGTGTCCCTTCAAAGCAGTAGAACAGTGGCTAAGACAGTTGATCATAAAGGAGAAAGTTTATGACCTGTGTGTGTCAACTCAGCATGTACAAAGTTCTACTAAGGCAGGGCTACTATCACTGATGATACGTCATATCCTGATTCCTATAGATGAGGGTTCATGATGCTACAGACCTCCCAACTCCAATGTGGCTGACACATACCAGATGTGGGAGAAGATGCAAGACTGATGGAAGCTGACTCCGGAGACCATTGTTAACTTTCACAAGCCAGTCACACAAGGGGAGTCTGATCACAGAAAGTTTAGAACTTATAGACGAAATGGATATTTTGTATAAAGGTTTGGCCTGAACCAGGAATTCTTTGATTTTCAAGACAAAGGACCTTCAGAATTTCAAGTCACTCTCTATTGATGACAGATGAAGCAAATGACACAAAATATGAAACAGTACATGTTCCAGATATGCAAATTAATCCCTCATCCCTTATTTTTAAATTAAAATGTATTATTTTGTGTATGTGAATGTTTTATAAGAAAGCTGGCTAAGTGAGCCATGGAAAGGAAGCCAGTAAGCAGTGTTCCTCCATGGCTTCCACTTTAGTTCCTGCTTCCGGGTTCCTGCCTTGAGTCCCTGTCCTGGCTTCCCTTCATGATGGACTGTAAGCTGTAGAGTGAAATAAACTTTCCTCCTCAAGTTGCTTTTGGTTATGCATGCTCTTTATCACAGGAGTATAAAGCAAATTAGAACAGAGGCACTGTGTGACTTTGTGTAAATTTCGTTGGAATCAGGAAATACCCATATTCACAGGGAACCAGTCATACACACATCACTTATGCTGACAAAAGAGAGAAGGAAAAGAAAATGAGAAAAAACTAAGTAACCAGGATGTTGGATTCTCAAAAGCTTGGAATGGCCGTGACTACTAAAGTGCTAGCTTTATTTCAGTTGCTGTGCTAAAATACTCCATAGGAAGCAATGTTATTTTCCTTATAACTCTGGGTTGCAGTCTATTGTCTCTGGGAAGTCAAGGCAGAAAGTCAAGTAGCCAGTTGCAATTAAGATCACAGAGAGAATAGACATGTCTTTACTTGTTTGTTTTTATCTAGTTTTCTTTTGTCTTTTATAGTTGCATAGGGTTTGCTGCCACCCACAAAGAGCTGGGTCTTCCTGCATCAATTAGCCATCAAAACAATCCTCCACAGGGTTGCCTACTGGTCAACCTGTCCTAGACAATTTCTCAATGTAAACTCTCTTCCTAGGTATTTCTAGGTTGTGTCTGTCAAGTTGGTAGTTAGAAACTAACCAGTACAGTAGCCAACTGTTAATGATACCTCACAATTGTTGATTAGTCTAGGTGCAAACTGAGAGCCAACTGCACTATTACTATGGGAATAAGTCTCTTCCAAAACTCTGAGCCATAAGAGTGGATGGGAGCCATTAAGGGTGAGAGCTCAAGGGAGTGGCAATAACGTCAGTAGGGCCTGCACTACCTATGTGTTGATTTCAACTTCTCCTCCATGTTCTCTTTGAAAATGAAAGGGGAGCCTGCATATCACCCCAACAGATAGGGGAGAAGCTGGAACAGCTACTCACATGTAGATGAGCACCAGGCTGATAGCCAGCAGCACCCAGGTTTCTATAGAAAGGTTGGGGATCAGCTCCATTGCAGCTTTTCTTCAGCCTTCAGCAGGTCTGGCTCCAAGTTTCCCTCCCAACTGAGAGTCTTGCAGGGCTCCCCTGCTGTGCTCAGCTGAGACCCAGTGAGTCCAGACTGCAGAGTTTATGTGCTGGGAAAGAAGGAGGTGTCAGGGCTGCAGCCAGTAGAAGGGCCTCTTGCACGCTTCCAGGAACTTGGGTAACTGGTATTGGTTAAAATGCCAAAAGGTTCATGAATTCACCTAATCTGAACTTTGAGCTTACATTCTGCCTATATTTGTTCTTTCAGAAACTCATATTGATTGGAACTACTTTCTTCTTATTTGCAGTTGTGTCCGTGGCTGTTCTCTTTCCAAAAACATTAAGTCCATACAACAAAACTATAGCTACTAATCTTTGTCTATGCAAGGCCCTCTTCCTTTGATTTTTGTTTTTTTGAGACAGGGTTTCTCTGTATTGTTTTGGACTCTGTCCTGGAACTCGCTCGGTAGTCCAGGCTGGTCTTGAACTCACAGAGATCCGCCTGCCTCTGCCTCCCGAGTGCTGGGATTAAAGGTGTGCGCCACCAACGTCCAGCAAGGCTCTCTTCCTTTAAGGCCTCTGTGTGCTCTGGAAGATGTGAAACCCACATCTAAAAATCACTTCCCACTCTGCACTACTTTGTTCCTTGGCACAAAACTCAATTGTTTTTCTCCATACTCTAACGGTATTTTTCTCTTTGTGGCATTTCACAGCACTCCCTCCCATCCTCCAGCTCTTACACTCTTTCCCCTGAAAGACCTCAATACACCCCCCTGGAGACTCAGAAGATCGCCCCAGTGGAAAATTCCCCAAGGTCCCCTAGGCAGGGAACAAGGTCAGATCGAAAAGAACATCTGGTCCAGAGTGCCGACACATGAAACCGCCAGACTGTGGAGATAAGCTTAATTTTGACCTTGTGGTTTCTCCAGGAAGGATGCCCGCGCTTTTTACAATACCCCTATTGCTTGCCAAGATCTGCACCTGCAGTGGCTCCACTTTTTACAATACCCCTATTGCTTGCCAAGGTTATGTATATAAAAGGAAAACTGTCTTAAAGCCCGGCGAACTCATCTAACTAAGGCTTTGGGAGTGCCCACAGGTGCCTGTGTGAACAATAAACCTCTTGCGGTTTGCATCCAACTGTCTGGTTATTGAGCTCGGGACGTTTCGTTAAGTTGGGCCTGATTACCTAAGGTCCTTCACCCCCATCTTTTCTGCAGTGGTCCCTGAGCCTTGGGTAGGAGGGTTGATATAGACATCTCATTACAGCAAGACACTCAGTCACTGTGTCTCTTCTAATAGATCCTTATCAAGTCTGTTGGATATGTTACAGTGACATTTTCATTATCACTCTATAGACACAGAGGCAGGAAATGGTAAGAGACGTGTCCAAGACCGAACCATGAAAGCAGGAAACAGAATTCTGATAAGTTGTAATTTTGTAGATAGTGTGTGTGCTTATCTTTGAATGGGCTCCTGGGTCCCTGCTGGTTGAGTCAGCATCATACAGAGTAAATATTTCCTTGTACACTTCCTAAAAATACTCATAGTGTGGCCAAAATGGTTACAAAATGGCTTTGTAAACACAAAACCCACACAAGCATCTTAGTAGCCAATATTAAATTGTGAGTTCTTCTGCCCCAGGAACTTCATGTTCTTATTTCCCAAGTACTAGGATGCTATGAGCTATTCAAAATGGCCAAGGAAGTGGACTTTGGGGTCAGTAGGAGACAGTTACTTTTCTATTGCTATGAAAAGATGCTATGACCAAGACAACTTATAGAAGAAAGAGTTTATTAGGGGGCTAGATTGTAGAGGATTAATCCATGGCCTTCATGACAGGAAGCATGGCAGCAAGCAGTCAGGCATGGTTCTGAAGCAGTAACTGAGAGCTTACATATTGAGACAACAACCATGAAGCAGAGAGAAAGATAACTGAGAATGGCATGGGCTTTTGAAATCTCAAAGTTGGATCTGGGTGGTGGTAGTGCACGCCTTTAATCCCAGCACTCAGGAGACAGAGGCATGTGGATCTCTGTGAGTTCCAGGCCAGCCTGGTTTATAGAGTGAATTCCCAGACATTCAGGATTACACAGAGAAACCCTGTCTCAAAAGAAAAAAAGAAAGGAAGAAATAAAGAAGAAAGGAAGGAAGGAAGGAAGAAAGGAAGAGGGAAGGAAGTCTCAAAACCTATTCTCCAAAAAGGCCATACCTTCTATTCCCTCCCAAACAGTTGCACAAACTAGGGACCAGGTGTTCAAATATATGAACCTTTGAGGACCATTTTCACCCAAAGCACCACAGCAGGTGGCTGAAGCTCTCTGCTATCTAGAACATGTCACAATTCAAGTGAAGACTTAACTAATGATGACAAGGATTGCTTGTTGTCTTGTAGAACCATCAGCCTGGGATGATCCTTGCTAAATATTAAACAAAGGCCTCATCCAACCACATGAACTTCATGAATTTCAATTTGTCCTTACTCTGTGTTGGAAACTCTGACAATAATGATTCATCTCAGTCCAAAAGTATACACTTAGGAACAACTCCAGTGCTGGTCTTGGCAAGTCAAGATGCCTTTGACAGTTTTACTTCAGGTAATGTACAATGAACTGGAACCTAAAGGCAGTTATGGAAAAGCCACAAGTAATGGCATGGACTTAATGTTTTCCTGTAACAGTGCCTCACTGACATGTCTTTGTTGATGATGAAACAAAGATCTCAACCTTGAATCTCTAGGAGGTACAGAATTCCTTTCTTCTCTTTTCATCCCTCCCTCCCTTCCTCCCTTCTTTCCTCCTTCTCTTCCTTCCTTTCAAGTTTGTTTGGTATTTTTATCCATTCATTTTAAATGTTTGATGATCATACTCCCCCCACCCCGTCACCCACCCCATCATCTCCCCATTATTCTCACTTATCCCCCTGTCACTCCTACTGACTCCTTCCTTTCAAAGAAATATTTATTTTAACATTATGTGTATGAGTGCTTGCCTGCATGCATGTCTGTGTACCATGTGTGTGCAGTGCCAGCAGGGGCTAGGTGAGAGCATGGGGACTGGGGTTAAAGAGGGTTGTGATCTGCCATGTTCCAAGCTGAGAATTGAACTGGGGTCTTTTTTCAAGAGCAGCCAGAGGTCTTAATGGCAGAGCCACCTCTCTAGCTTGTTGCACACATCAGGGTCTTCTTTTCATACAGCTCAGGTGCAGGTGGCCACAGCTGCCATGTGTCCGTGACTGTAACAGCCCTGTCATATCTAAAAGACAGCATTTCACAGTATTCTCCCCACTCCCATCCTCCAGCTCTTACGATCTCAGAGGGTCTCCCACTTGGCAGATATAATCTATGGATATAACATTAACTGTCTTTTAGAGTAGTAGAGTTGTTGTTCCTACTCTGTACTTGAGGAGAGTTGATTTCAACATCTCCACCTGCCTGAGATAGGCTGGTTAAAGTCTAAACTAACCAAGGCTTCTGTATGAGCTGAGGTCATACTTTGATATTCAACAAAGATTATATGTGCAAGCCAACACTGTAAGAGGTATGTGAGTTTTTGGTTCTGTTTTGTTTATTGGCATTCAAACACCTATTTTTCATAAAAAATGTTTATTAAAGTTTTTCTTACAGTATATTTTAATCATGTTTCCCCCTTCCCCAATTCCTCCCCACCTCCCTCCCCACCATACTTTAATGGTCTCTGTCTCTGTCTTAAATAAAAAAAAAACCAGACTGTCTTAGTTAGGATTTCTATTTCTGTGAAGAGACACTATGACCATAGAAACTTTTATAAAGAAAAACATTTAATTTGGGTTGGTTTACAGTTTCAGAGGTTTAGTTCATTATCCTCATGGTGGCATTCAGGCAGACACGGTGCTGGAGAAGGATCTGAGAGTTGTATATCTTGATCCACAAGGAACAGGAGGTAAACTGTGTACTTGTAGCTTGAGTATAGGAGACCTCAAAGCCCACAGGCAATACCTATTCCAAAAACCCACACCTCCAGTAGTGCTACTCCATATGGGGGCCATTTTCTTTCAAACCACCACACAAACTGTTTTAGTTAAGGTTACTACTGCTGCGATGAAACACCACGACCAAAAGCATGTTGGGGAGCAAAGGATTTATTTGGCTCACACTTCCATATCACTGTTTATCATCTAAGGAAGTCAGGACAGGAACTCAAGCAGGGCAGGAACCTGGAGGCAGGAGCTGATGCTGAGGATATGAAGGAATGCTGATTACTGGCTTGCTCAGCCTGCTTTTTTTCTTATAGAACCCAGGACCATCAGCTCAGGGATGGCACCACCCACAATGTGCTGGGTCCTCCCCCATCAATCACTAGTTAAGAAAAGTCCCTATAGCTGAATATTATGGAGGCATTTTCTTAATTGAGTTTCCTTCCTTGACACTTTAGGTTGTGTCAAGGTGACATAAAACTATCCAGCACACAGACAAAAACAAAACGGTCCCTGTACAGTTTCAAGCCAGACTGGGTACCACCACTGTAAGGGGGAAGTACACATGCGCACCCACCTCTAACTAAGAAGCTACCTGTAATTGATACTCCTTGGCAAAAGAAACATCTGGTTTCTCCAATGAAGTCTCCCTGGGTTTATTAACCACATCTTGGGCAGGATCATGACGGGTTTGACTAACACAGAGCAACGACTTTTTAAGGTTCTGTTTTGATTTCTATTTCCTGGCGCAAAAGGATCAGAGCCATCTGTATTTTCAGTGGTCAGCCCTAAAGCTGTTACTGGAGTGAACTGAATTCCCTTTTTCAATGCTGCTGGAGTGAGTGATTACATTAGGTTTACAAGGTTAGCTGAATTTTCTGCTTAATATTCAACAAAGTTTATGACACTAAGCTAGCCTGGTAGGGAAATATCAGATAAGGGTTGCTATTGATTTTGCTCAAGCTGCAACATATTCTGGCTTGCTGCCGGTCTTAACCACCACCACCACCACCACCCCCACCACCACCCCCACCCCCCCCACCACCACCACCACCACCACCCCCACCTCCACCCCCCCCTCCTTCCCTGCCACGTCTCCTCAG